CCACTCATTGCTAATGGATTTACACTGGCTTCTGAGTGCATGCTTACACAATCCATTACCAGTCTCTATCAATTGAAAATTCGAACACAACCATGATTACATATTCATATGTAGAACTTACCGTCATTGTATTCTGTTGCCATCGTTCGAAGAACTCTTAATCCCCGGCTTTGGCTGTTTCAGGTTGCACACTTCCGGCAGGAATTCACAGGCGTTTGTTGGAGATGTCCCCGTCGCAATTGTGTTGTTCACAGAATGTCGCAATGTTGTTCGCGGGATTGGAGGGAGAAGTATATTCCTGAATCGTCTTCTTTTGCTATTTTCTAGGGATCAAACCGATTACAATATTAATTATTAAATGTTGGGTGCGTAAAATGTCCCTTGTATCCCTTGTAATTTCTTATATTAATGGTCTCCTTATTAGTGATTAATTAATATGAACCATTGATTGAATGGGATTCGAAGGCTTAAATTAGTTCTCATGTTCCTACCTAATTATGGGTTCTTACTTGAAGCCCTCCCTCTATATATATATATATATATATATATATATATATATATATATATATATATATATATATATATATATATATATATATATATATATATATATATATATATATATATATATACACACACACACACTGTAGACTCAACTCATGAATTATTATCTTATATAAATTTAATTATGTGTAAAGTGATATAATTTTAATCTACTACTAAAAATTTTCATAAAATTAATTATTTATTACACTTTGAATTTTTTCTTTATGTGTGATGAAGAATTGTAAATAGTCCAAGCTAACAACAACTGGGGACGACCTACCTCTACCGGCCAAGTTGACTAGTTTTTCAATTGTAGACTCTTTGACCATTGATCTTGGGGTGTGTTTAGTTCGCACATGAGAATAGGAATTAGAATGAGAATCAAATATTTGGTAATGGTATGAGTTTTGGTGAAAGTATTTTGCATACTTAGTAGTAGGGTGGAATTAGAATGCTTACCAATATTTGTTAGGGAGAAATGTATTTAGATTTTGATGATATCAAACTAGGAATGTAGACCCCTCTTTTTACTTTCGTTTCACTGCATCTTTCGTGTTGGAGAAAGCAGTCTCAACTCACCATGTGATTCGGTTAAGTAGCATATATACATGAATCTGAGTTGTGTTTAGCAATTTAGGTCTACCCGAAGAAGAAAAGATCAAGGGAAGAACGAGAGAACAATTTAGACCGAAAGTTGGAAGGGTCTAACTCTCGTACAATCATCAAATGATAAGGAAGATCATTTGACTGAAAGGGAAAACGAAAGATGAGGACAATCTTTCATATAACTTTCCCGAGGCCATAAGTCTAAGTCAGACTTAAAAGACAACTCTTATAAATGAGCAAGAAGAATGTTGTCTAGGTCTCAATGTTGGGCAATCATCCTAGACAAAAGGTGTCATAGGAATGACATTCACAAAAGTCAAGAAGCATTAAATGATTTGTACTCTTGTCAGTGAAAAAGGACAAAAAGACAAGCAACTTTTGCTTTCAACGGCTATACAATACAGCCGAATTAAATTCTTCATGCCCAGCGGGTAATACACATTGGTTAATAGGTTTGAATTTCCATCTCCCTCCAACGGGTGGATTTTCTCTCCCTATAAATACCTCTCTTCCCAACCGAAGAAGGAGCTGATTGTTCAACTGATTTTATCTTAGAAAAAGCTCTTCAAACAAGTTCATCTAAAAGCTTTTCAAAAACCAGTGTGTGTGGTTTGAAGTTTTCAAAGAAGCTCATCCAGATTTTATACTTCACAATCCTCAAGAAGTCTTGCATCTTTACAAGAAGATTCATCTGATCATCAAGTCAAGACTTCAAGCTGTTGGAGAAACACATTATTTTCATCCAACACTCAACTCTGAAGAAGAAGTTGATAGAGGCGGAGTAAACTCAAGGAGTTGAAAAACCTCCCAAGTAGTTGTCCGGCTTAGTGATCAAGGAAGCTAGCTTGAGTAGTTTGTACTAGGAGTGATAGTGCAAACCCTTTCACAAGTTGTGAAAGAAGAGTGGAGTAGGCTTTGTTAATAGCCGAACCACTATAAAAATTCCTCTCTCCATCTCTCTTTAATTACTTTCGTATAACTATTGCATGCATACTGACCAAACCCTAAGTTTCTCAAAATCAAACTGTGCAAAGCATAATTTAAAACAAACTCATCTTTTCCGCTGCGTATATCTCCCGAAAGGAATTGATCGTTAAATTTCGAGGAGAGTTTATTCACACACCCCTCCTCCTCTAGACTCTCTTTTGACCCTACCGGGACCAACAATATTGATATATGGTTGGTTATGTATGACCTTATAATGGAAATAAAGATTTTAAAAATATAAAAATCAAAAAATAAAACAATTGATCCTAATTTAATGACATCCAAGTACTAATATGAACAAAAAAATCAAAATAAAAATCTAAAAGCATTAATCCAAACTTAAAAATCATATTACCAATATGATGTAATGAAACCTTTTTTAGTTAGGGAATTGAATTATTTATTGAAGGGGTAATCAAATCTCAGAGTTGTGTTTTAGTTAAAAAGTAGTTGTCAACCAAACACTAATAACTATGATTTTAATTTTCATTCTTAATGTGTAAACCCATGAACCAAACACATTCTTTAATCTTTCTTGTCAGCAGTTTTAAAGTGTAAGTTGTTGGTCCCGATACCGAGAGAATGAGAGTCTAGAGGGGGGGGGGGGGGTGAATAGACTCTATGCGATTTTCAAAACTTTACTCGAAAGAGTTATGCACAGCGGAAAGCATGTGTTATTTTAAGTTTTCTTTGTACACTTTCTTTAGAAATCGTCTTAACGAGAAGAGTATGAATGCTATGCAAGGCAGTTAAAACGATAAGTAAAGAGAGAGAGAGAGAGAGAGAGAGAGAAATTTTTATAGTGGTTCGGCTGTTAACTAAGCTTACTCCACTCTTCTTTCAGAACTCGTGAAAGGGTTTGCACTATCACTCCTTAGTTCAAACTATGCCAAGTTTGCTTCCTTGATCACTAAGTGGGACATCAACTTGCTAGGTTTTTCAACTCCTCCGAGTTTACTCCGCCTCTATCAACTTCTACAGAGTTGAGTGTTGGAAAGTGTTGATGTTATCTCCAACTTGAAATCTTGACTTGATGATGACTTGATCTTCGTATGCTGCAAGATTTATGTGATGTTGTGAAGATTTAGATAGCTAGATAATCTTTTGAAAAGTCTACACAAACACACGCTGGTTATGTAAGCTAGAACTTGAGAGTTTTTGAAAGCTTATTAGATAGCAATAGAGTGATAAAAACCAGCACCTTCTTCAAGTGATGGAGAGGGATATTTATAGGGTGAGAAATCCATCCATTGTTGGTAGATGGAGATTTCAAACCTATTAGCCAGCGTGTAATGACCTCTGGGTAAAGAGACTTAAATGCGGTTGTACTGTATAGCCGTTGGCTTCAAAAAGCAACCAACCATTTTGTCATTTTGTGCCGACAAAATGTACTAATCATTAAATGCTCCTTGATATTTGAAATTTCATTCCTAGGACACTATTTGTCTAGGATGATTTACCCATCTTTGAGACTTGGACAAATATGCTTCTGAAAACATATGAGACTTGTCCAATCAAGTCAGACTTTAAGTTCTCTCGGGTCATGAATAACGAAAGATTGTCCTTATCTTTCGTTGATTTCTTCAGTCAAATGATCTTTCTTTATCATTTGATAGTTACACGAGAGATAGACCATTCCATGTTTTGGTCTAAGTTGATCTCTCGGTCTTCTTCTTCATCATGAGGAGAACCCTGATTCGTGAGAACAGGATAAACATTAGATCTATTAGCAAGTTGAACAATTACACCATTTTCTTTTAAGGAACCAATATTCAAAGATGAATAAATAGATAAAGGCATCACATTAATGAACAATTACGCTCAGGTCGCGAAATTGAGGGTGATGTTAGCAAGAGCGGAAGGGCAACCTACAGGGAGGATGGAGCCATAGATGGCGGCATCGCTAGCACGCATTGGCCGCGCATCACAGGGACGATTGATGTTACAAGGATACAACACATCCTCGGGAAAGAATAAGGCTTTTGTTCCAAGCGGGGAGGAAGTGAAAATTTTGATCACAGTTGCATTTGTCTACTTTTGAGACATTATGTTTAAATGCTTTACATTCTAGTAGTATTTTCTTTATTATGCTTTTATTTTATCTTACTTGCATGAAGCTTGCTTATCTATTGATGCATGGAGTAGTTAATATTGATAATCATTTCAATTACACCTTACTTACCAAACATGCAAAATACTTTGACCAAAACTTTTTCCAATTACCAAATATTAAATCCCATTCCCATGTTCCAACCAAACACACCCTATGAATTTTGATTAACCAAACTTTTGAATAAAGCTAATAGATAATCGGTATTATTAATAATCTCAAATCAATCAAAACAATTAACTGAATTTCTTCACCCCAATTTGCAGATCTAGGCATATCATAAACCCAGAAATAAGTTATGCAAGGAACATCATTATGATATTTACATTTTTTTTTTTGTTGAAACAATACTCATTTACTTGTCTCTGCATTGCTCAAGGAAAGTGCATGTATGCCACCGTTTCTCCATGGAACGATACAAATTTACTTTTGTCTCTGCATTGCTATGCCACCGTTTGTTCTAGTTAGGACGTGTCACCAAGAGGAAATGCAAGGCTGCATCATGCATGCATTCATTTACATGAGGATTATGTGTCACCAAGGAAATTGTTAGAATATCACCTTCATTATAATATGAGTCATCATCCTCCTCAGTCACATTTGTAGTCTCTCGCTGCTTCTTCAATTTAATTTTAAAATTTGAATCGTTTCATCGAGATGATAACATGAGTGATGTGTATAAAAAGGGGCCGGGGACTCACTACTTGAGAAATCCATAGAAATTAAAAAAGAAGAGAGAGAGAGAGAGAGAATTGAAGATGAGTGACACAGGCATTGCTAAAAGATGGAAGAAGCTAAGTGGGAGTGATAACTGGAAAGGGCTACTGAACCCTTTGGATTCGGATCTCCGCCGCTACCTCATTCACTACGGAACCATGATTGCACCCGCATGCGATGCTTTCATCAACGAACCAGCTTCCAAAAATGTGGGATTACCGCGATACGCCAGGAAAAACCTCTTTCAAAATACAGGACTTGTCAAGGGAAATCCTTTCAAGTACTAGCTTCTCTTTAATTTCTTTCTTCATTCTATCATTTATGAGTACATACTACTAGTACTTATATATGCTTAACTGTATATATGTTTCAGATATGAAGTCACCAAATACTTTTATACAACATCTCTATTAGAACTCGGAGCTAAAGGGTGTACTTTGACGGAATCAAACTGGAGTGGATATGTTGCTGTGGCCACGGATGAAGGAAAAGCTGTTTTGGGACGAAGAGACATTGTGGTTGTTTGGAGGGGAACAATCCGACTCTTAGAGTGGATTGATAATCTCATATTCCTTTATGTTAATGCGCCATTAATCTTTGGCAAAAACTCTGATCCTCTGGTGCATATGGGTTGGTACTATATGTACACCAGCACCATTCCAGGTTCTCAACACAATGAAACAAGTGCCAGAGATCAGGTATATATATATATATATATATATATATATATATATATATATATATATATATATATATATATATAGTATAATTAATTATTTAATTTTATATATATAGAGGCGAGTTCAGGTGCGGCAGTGTCTTACAGTGCGGAGATTTTTTACGGTGCGGCAACACCAACAGTTCAACAAATATGCACCATCAACGTTAGGAAAATACACCACACAAAACAGACCCTGCATCACCAAACACACACCATTAGGTGTGAGTAAAAACACCATACACTGTTCGGAAATACACCATTGGGGGCGGTGAGTTATATGGTGTATTTTTTTGAGTCTGTTGTGTATTTTATGATGTTTTATTGCATTTCATTGTGGTGTGTTTTTATTACACTGTTGGTGCATATTGTTAACACTGTTGGTGTATTTTGGAATTCCGCCGCACCACCGCACGGGAAGATCCCGCCGCATTTAAACTTTATTTTATATATATATATATATATATATATATATATATATTTCAGCAAGTATATATATATATATATGAACATATACTACATGTAACAGGTCAAAAACTAACTTACTTTTTATTTTAGTTTTCTTAAATTTGGGTTTAGTTTGTTATAGGTTCGTAAAGAAGTTGCAAGACTTGTTGAATTATACAAGGACGAGGAAATTAGCATAACCGTGATAGGACACAGCTTGGGTGCATCCATGGCAACACTAAACGCAGTAGACCTGGCTGCCAATCCAGTCAACAATAATAATAAAGATGTTCCTATCACTGCTTTCGTGTATGCAAGCCCCAAAGTAGGGGATCACAATTTTAAAAAAGCCTTCTCTAATCAACAAAACCTTCGAACCCTGCGAATCTCCGACCTGAATGATTGTGTTCCAAAAGTTCCGCCGTATGGATGGAAAGAGGGTGAGACCATAGAATCAAAAGTAGATTACCAAGATGTGGGGGTGGGTTTGGTGATTGAATCTAAGAAATCCGACTGTTTGAAGCCTGACATTCTAGACCTGTGCACTCACGACTTGATGCTTTATATGCATGCACTTGATGGATACCAGGAGTCTCAGGGAGGATTTGAGCGTCATGGAGACTTTGATCTTGCCAAAGTTAATAGGTATGGGGATTATTTGAAAGCCGAGTATTCTATACCAATACGATGGTTTAACATAAAAGATAAAGGAATGGTTCAGCAGGAGGACGGGAATTATATCCTTGACGATCATGAGACGGATGATGATGATGATGATGATGATGATGATGATGATGATGATGATGAATGAGATGTTTAAAACAGAAACAGTTTGGTGCATGCATGCAATATGTGTGTTTGAATAAAACTAAGTCTTCTCTCTCTAGCTTCATGAAGACCTTTCTATAGTTATTCAGTGTGGTTTGAATAAAATTGGAGCTAAAATGAGGCAACTAGCCGCTTGTGGCTAGCTGTCTAGTCCAATAATGCATGTATATATCCGAGGTTTGCTAGCTTGTATTTCAATTATCATGTTTCAATCATCTCACCTCTTTACTTTGCTTAGTTTGTTCCTCAAATCTGGGGTTGTACTGTTTACTTTGAACAATCTTCTTAATTTCTAGCTGTTTTTGCCCATTCAACATACCGATTATCTATTAGTTTTATTCAAAAGTTTGGTTATTCAAAATTCTTAGGTTGTGTACGGTTGGAACATGGAAATTAATACTCCGTAATTGGGAAGGGTTTTGGTGAAAGTATTTTGAATGTTTTGTAGTAGGGTAGAATTGGAATGATTACCAATATTGATGTTTGGTAACTTGGTTATGTATGACCCAATAATAAGATTAAAAGTTTTAAAAATACAAACAAAAAAAAAAAAAAATCAATTCACATAACAACTGATCTTAAGAGTACCTTACGATGAAATGAGTAGGTAATGCAGTGATGAAGTAGATGAAGTGAAGAAAGATGAGTGAGGAGGCAACGAAAGTAGGTAATTGAGAATGGTTTTGGTGAAAGTATTTTGTATGTTTGGTAAGTACAGTGGAATTGGAATGCTTATCAATATTGATGTTTGGTTATATGTATCACACTATAATCAGATTAAAAGTTTTAAAAATAGAAAAATAATAAATTAAGACAATTGATCTTAAAAGTGACGATGAAGTGAGTAAGTAATGCACTGAGGAAGTCGATAAAGTGAAGAACGAAAGATGAGTAAGGACGAAGGATATATACCTATGTCCTAATCTCATGAATCAAATACACCATTAATATGACACATACATACACACACACACACACATATATATATATATATATATATATATATATATATATATGGCGGCATATGTTGAGCTTAAGGAGTCAATGAGGGAAGTAGGTTGGACCTAACCAGCTAAGGAGTGTAGCAAATTATATCGTCGACAAGAAAGACCGACCAATATGAATAAATTGTTTGTCAACATTATTTATTGTGCCGTCTTCTTTATTTAACTGCATTACAACCATGTTTTAATTTAATCTATAATCAATTAATAGATTATGTGACTATAAATAAATTGAAGTTACATAATGATCATGTTAGGTAACATTTAGCTTATCAGTTAATTTTAGCTTATTTGACTACTATTAGTTGTTTGACTTAGTTAAACATTCAATATAAGTATTTGATTAATTAGCTTTTTTTTGTAACAACTTATTACTCCAAAATGCTATTATTCAAAAAGCTGGTCAAAGCAGCTTTTTTCAATCAAATTTTTGAGAAAGTCATTTTACATGTAATCAACTATAAGCCAACAGCTAATTTATTAAACATCTTTCTAAAATCAACTAATGTTATTAAATACTTAATCGGCTAACAGCTATTCATCAAACACTCACAATTAAAATATTATATGCTAACAATTAATATATTATGTATATGTACCGTGATCTCTTTATGTCCAGCCTGGTGTAACATTAAGCTTCACCCCACTCAAGTCAATCGCCCGATTAACCCCCACAATACCCTGGCTGATTGGACAATAGTGAAAATTAAATCAAAAAGCAACATACCTGGGTTCATAACCACTGGTAATAGTCGACGAAGTAATCACGGTCGCCGAAGACGGTGACTCACCAGAAGCATTATTCAATACTTAAGGTGAGCTCTAAGGAATGTGTATCAAAGTGATTGTTTTTGTCTCAGTTGATGAATCATCCTAGGAACAAGACGTTCTAAGGACAAGAGGCACACAAATCAAGGTACATTAAATGCCAAGGTACCTCTTTTCAGAGCTAGAAGACAAAACATGCAGAAATTCTTGCCTCCAACGTCCATATGGTACAATCGCATTTAATAAAGCAATAAATGCATCAGGTTCTCCGGTTATTATCCACTGGTCCATAGGTTTGAAATGTCATCTCCCTCCAACGGATGGATATTTTCTCTCCTATAAATACCCATCTTCTCCATTGTAGAAGGTGCTTGTTTTTACATCAACTACTGATCATTCATATTCAAAAGCTCCTTATACAAGTTCACTCTCTCAAGCTTTTGAAAACCAGTGTGTCAAGGTGTGAAGTTTACAAGAAGAACTATCAGATTTCAACCTCACAACCTTGAAGAAGTCTTGCATCTTATATACGTTGATCATCCATCTTTCAACCAGTCAGCCAAGACTTCAACCTGTTGGAGAAACACGCAAATCTTTTCTACCAACCCTCAACTCTGAAGAAGAAGTTGATAGAGGCGGAGTAAACTCTAGGAGTTGAAAAACCTTCAAGTAGTTGTCCGGCTTAGTGATCAAGGAAGCTAGCTTGGTGTAGTTTGTACTAGGAGTGATAGTGCAAACCTTTCACGAGTTGTGAAAGAAGAGTGGAGTAGGCACAGTTGGCCGAACCACTATAAAAATCTCTCTCTCTCTCTTTACTTACTTTCTGCTTTTGATACAAGTGTTTTGCAGTTATTATTATTATTTGATACATGTGTTTTGCAGTTATTATTATTATTATTATTATTATTATTATTATTATTATTATTATTATTATTATTATTATTATTATTATTATTATTATTGTAGTAGTAGTGGGATGACCACTTCCTAGGTAGTTAGAGGTAGTGCGTAGTTTTTATCTTCTATAAATAGATGCCTAGGTATTTGAAGAAGAGATATCTGGGAAATTTGTATTTTGGGCTTCCTATTAAATGGAAGATTGGGGGAGAAGAAGCACTCCATAAAAACGCTTCATTTGGGGGAGAAGAAGCACTCCACAAAAACGCTTCATTTGGGGAGAAGAAGCACTCCAGAAACGCTTCGTTTTTATTCCTAAGTTTCTAAACCTGTGACGCGATCCTAGATATCCTGGCCTATAACAGCTTTACTTTCGCGCACTGCATATCATATTCTCTCACAACCGAAAGTTCTTATATATCCGAGGTTTGCTGGCTTGTATTTCAATTATCATGTTTCAATCATCTCACCTCTCGATCACCAATATATATATAATAATAAAAGACTTGATCGAATTGCATATATGCTTTTACTTTGCTTAATATGTTCCTGCATGCTTAACAAAACTAATTTAATTTATTTGCTACTCAAATCCGGGGTTGATTGTTTACATTGAATAATATTTCTTCTTTAATTTCTAGCTGTTTTTGCCCATTCCTGACTTAGATCTGTGCAAATTGGGGTGGGTGAAGATTAGGTCAATTCAACTTATTATCCAAGAAATTCAGTTAATTATTGTTTTGATTGATTTGACATTATTAATAATACCGATTATCTATTTGTTTTATTCAAAAGTTTGGTTATTCAAAATTCTTAGGGTGTTTAGTTGGAACATGGGAATAGGAATTAATTAATACTTGGTAATTGGGAATTGAAGGGTTTTGGTCAAAGTATATTTTACATGTTTGGTAAGTGTGGTGCTCTAGTGGAATTAGAATGATTATCAATATTGATTTTTGGTTAGGTATGACCATATATATAATCAGCTAATAATAAGGGGGCGTTTGGTTCAGGTCATCTTTGATTACCTAGGTAATCTGAGTCTGGTAATGTTATATTACCTTGTTTGGTTCAAGTTATGAAATTACCTGGTAATGTTATATTACCTGAAAGCTGATGTGGCGTTAATGTTTCAAGGTAATGTGATTACCCCCATTTTTTTAGGTAATCTTAGATTACCTTGAATTATTCCAACTTTGCCCTTGTTAACTAATCCTTATTCTTATAATAATAATAATAATAATAATAATAATAATAATAATAATAATAATATTATTATTATTATTATTATTATTATTATTATTATTATTATTATTATTATTATTATATATTTAGTTTTTTAATATTTGAACATTGATATACATTCATACATATAAATAAATAAAATAAATACACGCACATAAATAATATATATATATATATATATATATATATATATATATATATATATATATATATATATATTATTGAGGACATTATTGTAAATTGATTTATATAACCTAAAATATAACCCTTAACCAAACACAGTAATATTATATTCCACAATCTAAACCAAACACATAAGGTAATCTTACATTTCGGTAATCTCACATTACCTTCCTGAAGGTAATCTTATTACCTAGGGTAATCCAAGATTCCGTGAACCAAACGCCCCCTAAAGGTTTTTAAAAATACAAAAATAAAAAATTAAGGCAATTGATTTAAAGTAGTGATGATGAAGTGAATAGGTAATGCAGTGAGAAAGTTGATGAAGTGAAGAAAGATGCATGACTGAGGAGGCAACGAAATGAGCAGGCCATGAAATGAGGAAGAATAAGATTGAGTTAATGCAAGGATACCTATGAGCAGGCGATGAAGTGAGGAAGAATCAGGTTGGACTTATTTCAGGGGTGTGCATTCATATTATTTGGACTTATTTTGTGAATCATGAAGTGTTGGGGTGAGAATATATATAAATAAGGGAGATCAAAAAATGAAAATATACAAAAAAAAAAAAAAAAAAACTACAAATAAAAGAGTTTTTCTCAAAATGGTCCCTCGATTATTTCTTATTATATATTAGGCGTGCGTACAATAGGTAAACGGATAAAAATGCTCTCGATTTTAACACTGATTAGACGGAATATATAACGGGGGACTAAATTGGGTGAGGTTTTGAGAGTCGAAGAAACACATTTGGTGTAATTGAAAGTCGAAATGCAAAATTGAGAATGAGGAATAGTCGAGGGACCATTTTGGAAAAAAAAAATCTTCTAAAGTTAAATAGTTGAAAATTCAAGCTGACATAGTGCTATTTTGAAAATTTTACAAATTCGTTAGAAAAGTATGCATGTAAGTACCAACAAGTGGTATCAAAGTAATTGTTTTAAAAGATCAATTGTTTTATGTCAACTTGAGCAAATCTATAAAACTTTATTTTCAAAATTTGTTAAATAGCTAATTTTCTAAAAAAGCACAGAAGTATGGATAAAAAAAACCTATTGTTCAATTCAAATAATTTTTTTTTTTTTGAGAGAGAGAATTCAAATAATTTTTTAAATACATCTCTTCCTGTATTTTGTAAA